CCCCCCCATCCCTCCTCCTCCTCCCCCAGCCCCTCACCAGCAGCACGTGCTCCCGGACGATGAAGAGCTGCTTCGCCCACTGTCCCAGCCAGCGCTTCCTCCAGAGGAAGCCGCAGAGCTGGGCCTCGGGGCGCCCGGGGGGCTCGGCCTCGGGGCTGGCGCCCAGCGGCCACCTCAGGTAGTGGGCACGGTCCGTCACACCCTCCTCCTCCTCCTCCTCCTCCTCGTACGACTCGTAGTGGCTGCTGTCGGTGTCGGCCCCGCCTGCGGGCCGGGGCGGGGTCAGGGGGGTGGGCGCTCGCCGGGGCTGGGCGGGGGGTGCAGAGGGGGGGTCCTCACCGGAGCATCCGCTCCTGAGTTCGGCATCTTCGTACGAGTCGTCGACCGGTGGGGACGGTGAGACACCCCCCAGCACCTTGTTCTGGAGGGAGAAGGGGTGCTCCAAAGGTGCTGCCCCTCCCCAGCGTGGACCTCTTGGGGTCCCCGAGGCGCCTGGAGCGAGCGGGGCCACGGGGACTTTCCCACCCCCGTGTGAGTGAGGTTTCAGTGCCCCTCTGCCATCCTTTGTGCCGCTGCCTGAGTCCCCAGAGCCCCTTCACCCTCCTCCAGTGCCCCCCTTACCCCTCCGTGCAGGCTGGGGGCGCTGGCCGGGCGGCACTCGCAGCCTCTCCCTCCCGCTGCATCCGCCGTCCTGGATCCTGGGGGGAAAAGCGGGACTGGCAGCGGCGTTGCGGGGCGGAGAGGGGTCGGGCACCCCCAGCCGTGCGCGGAGGAGAGGGAGGGTGGCTCGAAGCGTGCGACTCACCCGGGCCGGTCCAGCCCTGCGGGGTCCCCGGGGAGGGCGAGAGGCAGCGCATGATCATGTACTCTGCATCCTCTGCTGCGGGGGGAGCGCCCGGTCACAGCCCCGCCCCTGCGCCCACCGGGCACCCACCGGGGGCTTCCCCCCGCCCTCCGACCCCGCACTCACACGGGGGGCTCTGCAGCCGGGACAGGAGGTCGGACACCGACTTCTTCTTGGCCCGAGCCGCGGCGCTGAGGCTCTCCCGGTCCAGGATGAGCAGGAAGGACCTCAGGTCCGACAGCAGCTTGTCCAGGTCTGCGGAGGGGCAGGGAAGTGCCACCGCAGCCAACAGGGGCTCCCCGATGCCAGGGGGGTGACATGCCCCGTCCCACTGGTGGTGCCCCCGCTCCAGCACCTGCCCCTGCCCTGCACAATCCCACCATTGACAGGCCCGGGGGCACGG